CTTTTTGTATACGGTAGGTTACGTCTATGATCTTTGTCACAATGCGGTAGGGTCCGTCCCATTTATCCTGAAGCTTAGGAGATTTCCCTTTGCTGCGAAATGGATTGTGCAACCACACTAGTGAACCTTCGTCGAAGCCTTTGTTGTTCATGTTGCGGTCATACCGGGTTTTCATCTTTTCAGACATTTGCTGGCCCGTCTGTCTGACGTGCTCATAAATGTCATTCCTTTTGTTCCGCAAGTCATTTGCATAATCGGTTATACTGCGTGGGGCATCAGGTGGTATTCCGGTGATCAGTTCTGCAGGTAGCCGTAATTCTCTTTCAAAGTTTGCAAAATCTGGTGTCACTGATGAACTTTCGTGAACAGAGCTTCGATATGATAACAAAAACGGTTGTATGTCCTTGTCCCAGACTTGTTGCCGATTTTCCACAACTTTTGCTAGGTACCTCTCCAATGTCTGATTAAATCGTTCTACCGTTCCAGCAGATTGTGGGTGGTAAGAAGTTGTTCTTGTTTTATGAGTACCTATAACCCGGCAAGTTTACTGGAATATTTGAGACTCAAAACTCCTTCCTTGATCGTTGTGAATCTCTAAAAGTACTCCAAAACGACAAAAGACTTCATGAAATAGTTTATCAACAACTGTTGAAGCTGATATTTGGAATGGTGAAGACTTCTGACCATTTAGTGAAGTATTTTTACTTTCCTGTCCTATCCTAGGGCTATCCTCTCCCATGGTGTACCAACATTGTTGGTCATGACAGTGGACCTAGTAAAACCATTCTCGGATCTTCAGTAGAGTTCGTTTAACCCCCAAATGGCCTCCTGAACAACCATTATGGTACAGCTGTAGAACACCAGGTACTTTAGCTTTAGGGACAACAATTTGACAACTGTCTCCCCAACTATATTCCCATTTATAGCACAGGACTCCATCCTGAACCAGTAATCAGTCCCATTAAGCCCAATAGCTTTTCGTGGACGAACTCATCGCTGAAACGTCGCTCCACTTGGGCTTAGAAGCACTGGCATTCACCCATTCAAGAATCGGCTTGTTGTCCGAATCTTCCTGCTGTGCATGTTTTAGCCTGGTTTTCCCACTCATTTCTGAGTTGGCCTGTCCTGAGCATCCTCACAGATACCACTTCCTTACCCTCTTGCCTAGTGCAATGCTTGCAATCTTCAGGACAAGGTCTTCTTGACAATGCACCTGCATCTATACCGGCCTTATATAGGGCCTCAAATAGTTCCAGAATCTTCTACTGTAGAAACATCTGGAATGTTCGAGTACATACCGGTTCCGAGTTCCTAGGTGTCAATAGTTCTAGAAAGTTCTTCCGTGGAAATTTCTAGAAGGATCTTGACTCTCCTAGTTCTGCTACTCGATACTAGAAGGCGCTAGTGGAAACTAGTGTCTCCATGTATCAGTCTATAGCTATGTCTACACCAGTGCTCTTTCCTGTTTATCTTGCGTCTTCCTCTAACGCATACCTGAACAACCATAGCGCATGCGCTAAACCTAGTTAGACAACAGCGCATGTCGTCGCAAATCCGTCACCGATGGGTTCACATGCAACATTTCGTGCATTTTAATGAACAAAATGGCGGAAGGCAAAATTAAAAACGAGTGTTATGTTTCGTATTTTTTGGCTCCACTATTTTCAAAAGCTTGTAGAAAGTGGCTTGAGTAATTCGTGTGAATTTTTTAAAAGGAACGTCATTGTTTAAATTTTTCAATATTGTGTTGTTCCGTTTCGTCAAATAAGCTTTCATCCAGATTTTCCTTTTCTTGCATTTTTTCCCTGCACTTAACACAAAATATGCCGCACTGATAGTAGTAGTAATGGGCCGGCTCGAACCTGGGTGGTATCACGACTTCACAGAATACCAGCGTGAAGTAGAAGTTTACTTCTGCATTTCGCCTGGTGAGTGCAGGTAGCCGGAGGCCCAACCCCCCCCCCCCCCCCCCCGTCAGGGTACCAGAATCCCTCGCTGGGCATCCTGCTCAAGCTACCCTACTTTTTCTGAGCGTGGGTGCTCAGGAAGCCCCGAGTACTCTGGAAGGGACGAAATTCCGCTCCAGAAGAAACCTGCTCGGGGCAAACGGGGCAATAAGACAAAGGCAACCCCTGCCACGCTTTTCGTGAATTTCTGCAATATCAGGGGACTTCATTCAAACCTTAACGCCGTCCACTACCATCTGGAGATGGCAAAGCCGGCCGTGCTCTTTCTAACCGAGACACAGCATCGAGCAGAGTAACTTGAGGATCTACAGCTGATTAGTGACCGCCAATAGGGTTTATAGGGCACAAAGCGCGTCTTTTGAAGCTGCTTCCTATGGGCTTTCCGAGAAATTGTGCAATTGGATCACCAGTTTTCTTGCAGATCGGAGCATCAAGGTCGTGGTAGACGGTGCATGCTCCGATTACAAGCCCATTAACGCTGGTGTTCCACAAGGCTGCATGCTATCACCAACGCTGTTTCTTCTTCATATCAATGATATATTGTAATCCAGTAACATTCATTGCTATACAGACGCTTTATACAGATGCTTTATACACCGGCCGTGTCAATATTTCTCGGGAAAACGTCGCTGAGTACCGGAACAAACTTGTGTCTGAAGTCGAGACTATGTTGAACAAAGTCTCAGACTGGGGGCGACTAAATCTAGTCTAGTTCAACCCCCAGAAGACACAAGTTTGCGCGTTTACACAAACTTGTGATATGAAAGCGAAATTGAAAGCGGACTGGTGTAAACATACCTATTAATTGTGGCGCGCAACAGTACAAACGCACAAACAAAATGAAAAATTTTGCGGACCCTTAGACAAAATGGGTACAAAACTTATTTATCAAATGTTTGCTAACAATTTTCTTTCAGGCGCTATAATATTTATCTAAAACTATTTTTTTTCTGTCTTTACAATTACTTGCAATCAGTTTTAATTAGTGGAATTCTGAAAACTACACAGATCTCCTCTTACTATACGAGTTGTTTCGTGTCAGGCCAACGCTGCCTTTATGTTTTTTGAAGGCGCATATCCTCACAATATTTTTTTTATTTCTCAACCATGCAGGCATCTTTACAGTATATTCAAGTTTTAAATTAGTAGTTAAAATGGAACTACAATTTAATTTCATTTTGCAGGGATCGAACTCAGTCTCGCGTTCAATGAACGTTTGAGGACAGCGCTTACCCTCTGAGTTAGCATTGTTCTCAGAATGTTGAAGACACTGTACTTGTATACTCGTATTTTTCGGGACCTACGGGTGAAAGCTTACAAAGAGATATTTTAATTACATTTGAATAAAAGGGTTTAATTACGTTTCATTTGAACTAACTTCAAACAGGTGTTCCGGTGAGTTTTTAGCTTAGAGGATGAAGATGTAATTATGTTACTTCGCCATAATATATTTTCAACCGAAACACAACAACCGATTCATTATTGCTTGGCAGTAGATAAAAAATAAAAAAGACGGTGATTTTTAGTCAAACGTAATTTGTTGCTGCGACCCATAGACATCTAGATCTATCCTCGATTACGAATCAAAATGCAGATGCGTTGTTACCCGTGAGGACTAAGATGGAATACCTCATTTCCAGTAAAAAGGGCCTCCGGTTCTCTACACTCACCATACGAAACACAGCAACATTAAGTTGCTATTTCACGCTGATATTCTGTGAGAGCGCGGTACTTCTAAAAACTACACTACTAATTTAGCTGCAACATGACTCTACCATGTAAAATGTTTTTCTTCACCGTAGAACACTTGGTAAATCATCAGTTAAAATTGTTATTAACGATTTCATTGGTGCCGGCGGTGTTCGAAACCGGGTTGCAGCCAGGTTCCATAAAACCAAATTATACCTATTATGAATTAAGATTTGTTTTACAAAATTGTTATTTTTCCACTGTCTTTATGCTGTACAAAATCGTTACTTCAAAACTAACGTTTCACACCTTTGCATCTATATCTCGTAACAGGTATGGTTATTTTACTTGTGAATGAATGAGAACAAAACAAAATAGTAATACCGCCATCTACCCGGACCACATATGATTTATCTGGCAAGAATAAAATAAAAAATAAAAACAATGAAATATCAATATTTATTGTTAAAGCGAAAATTTTGTCAAATATTTTAAAACCTTAGGAAACACCATAACTTTTATAAACTGACTATACACAAAATCAAAATGATTCCAAAATGGATCCTCAACTTCTACCAACTCTTGAACGTTTGGCAAACTCTTTGTAAACCATTTAATATCTCTGACGTCGACTATATTATCGCTCTTGCCATAAATAACTACCGAAGGTGTTGACACAGCACTAATATTATAATATGGAGGATCCGACGTGCCGTACACTTTTAAATTTGTAGCTTCACCGTGATCGAATTTTCGATAACTTTCATCCCATAAACTTTGCCCGTACCGAACGAGAGTGCGAAGCGACGTTCCAGCTGGAAAATTTGCAAACATCATCTCCCATGTTTTATCAATTACAGATCCCACGTGTTCAGAATCCAGCATTAGTATGCTCCCACCGGCGTTGCATAATGTTTCTAAAAATATATCGTATTTACAAATATAAGACAGGATCGCCTGTCCAACACCACCTTTTGGTAATACTTCTTTGATGCCGATCAAAGTAAAGGCATTCTCGAATATTCTTAATCGATCTAATATTGCTCTAAATATTCTCGATTGTGTGTGAATCAATCTTGTGCCTGGCGCTAAAGCAATAAACAGTCCCACCTTTGCACTGTAACCTGGTCTTTCTGAACACATAATAGCAAACGACCCGCCACCTTGCGAGAATCCAATATAATTCACTTTTTTCGCAGCAGTATACATAATCACATAGTCTACTATCGCTGGAATATCGTACATGCCCATTTCATCGACTGAAAAATTCCAAAATTCTGGATCTTCGTCGGGATTTAGCTTAATATGCCTTCTTCCATAGTAGTTCCCTCTAAAGTTGCCCAGTCATATATCGAAACATTCGTCAGAAAGAAGATAGGCTAGACTTGCTTCAGGGCCTGCATCGAACCATGAATCTGAGCTCATCAGCAATCCATGCATGAGGATTACGGGTGGATTTTTCACTTGGTCATAACATTTTTTACTCTTAACCATACGAAATATAGTGAGAAGATAGCCATCCTCTGTGTACACTGTATGCTCTTCCGTAAAGTACCCATGTTTGACACTGAGTCTTGTGAAATTCAGAAGTGAATTTGCTTGATGTTGCAAAAACAATTTCTCATTAGTAATTGACTGCTGTAATATTACGTACGAAAACATTAAAAACACAATAAAGATAACGTGAATTATAGAAACCGTGTAAGTCCGCGACGCCATTGTAACAATGTTCTATACTTTATGAACACTAACCGTTTTATTTCCATAAAATATATTTAAATTGGTTCGTTTAAATTATGCGGTTAAAAAAAAAAGAATAAGTAGCATCGTTTAAAATGTGATTAACTCACAAATACCTGTTTTGACGTAATAACTCCGGTATTGAGAATCTTCGAACCTCAGATGACTTTACCCTATCTTTGGTATTATTACATTTGTGATTAACACCAAAGGACAATTTTCGCAACTTTTATACGTAAAATGTAGCCATCATTTGGTTAGAAAAAAATCAAAATTATAAACTCGAATCCAAAGCTTCATCCAGGACAGTTAATACAAAAATAACATCACGCAAGCATTAATTGCGACTGTTGAATTTTATTTGTTTATTCTTTATTGCAGCCTTATTAAATAAAATTATAAAATACTACAAAGGATCACATAATCTATCTATTATTACAGTAAAACACTAACATGACGATTTCTGTACATTAATTTTTTTTAATTTGAATTGGCTTTAAATTTTTGGAAACATTTTCTGTCTTTCTGTATGAAAACGCATCACACAAAAACCTGTGAATCGATTTGGATGGGACTTTCACTATCGTGTTACATAGACATTGAACCTTTGGAATAATTATAATTCATCATGCTATCTATCATAGGAGCTGGGCAGTAGGTATATATCTCATTTTAGCAACTTCAAAAAGGTTTATAATTTACATTGTAGTGAGATTGAAAAATTACGTAATCCGATTTTGAGTTGGTTTTTATATTATTCCTATCTGTTATTATCTAAATATCGTAGTTTTTTATTTTAGTGTAATAATAATCAACTAATTAAAATAATGTTATATAGATGACGCTATAGGTATTTTAAAGCAAGGTATGGTTTTATTAGAATAGAATAGAATAGAATAGAATAATTTTTATTCAATATAGATTACATGTGTAATTCTTATTGAATTTTTTACTTTTTTTTTTACTTTATTGAAATTCATTTTTTACTTTACCACTGGTTCCAAAAAAACCCTCTGTCCTGGGAAGAACCAGCAAGAAACCCAGCGGGACTTTTTTTTTAAATAAATTTTACAATATAAATGATTACGAACTATTTACAAAATTTATTTTAGAAACTGCTTGGAAGCGACCGCCTCATTCCCAGGGGTTATTATCAACCATGTAACATTTATACTATAATAACCCTTTTTATACAGTTTCAGTTTAATAAAACATTTCAACATGGTAATAGATAGAACCTGTACACTTTCCGGGACCTTGTTGTAATAGCGTATACATTGCCCCAAGAATGAATTACTGACTCTGTGGAGTCGAGAAACTGGCATCACTAGCTTGTGTTTGTTCCTAGTGTTTACAGAATGTATATCACTTTTTTACTAAAACTATCTTTGTTTTTGTGAACATACATTAAATTTTCGTAAATATACTGAGAGGCCAAAGTTAATATATTTATTTCTTTAAATTTATCTCTAAGAGACTCTCTCGGTTTTAGATTGTAAATAGCTCTAATGGCCCTCTTCTGTAAAACAAAAATAGTTTCTGAATCAGCCGCATTTCCCCATAGCAAAATCCCATAAGACATTATGCTATAGAAATCTAAACACTAGTGAGACCTCTAATCTTTTTTACAGCATAGGCTGCAAAACTTAGTCTGCTTGCTAATTTGGATATATGGGGGCCCCAGTGAAGCTTTGCGTCAAGAGTGATGCCAAGAAAAACAGTGGATACAACAGGGCTCAATTCCTCCCCATTTCAAAAACCCATTGATATTCAGATTTTGAACATTCGTTGTTGTAAATTTAACACAATTAGTTTTATTTCCGTTCAAATGCAGATTATTAACGTTAAACCAATGCACTAACTTTGATATAGCATTATTCACTTCGACACATTTAAATGATTGACGTTTAAGTTTAAAAATCAAGGAAGTATCATCAGCAAATAATACTATATCATGACTATCCCCTACAAGGTAAGGTAAGTTATTAATATACACCAGAAACAGGAATGGACCGAGAATCGAGCCCTGAGGAACAGCTATTAGTACAGGTGACCCGGAAGAACTTTTACCATTGATAATAACCTTCTGCTTTCTATTACTTAAATATGAAATAATAAGTTTAAGCGCTGTGTTCTTGACACCTTAGTACTGTAGCTTCCTGATTAATGTATCATAGTGAACACAGTCGAAGGCCTTGGAAAGGTCACAAAATATACCCAAAGCATCCTCTGAATTCTCCCATGCACAAAAAATATGTTTAATAAGCTCAACTCCAGCGACAGTTGTCTAGCGACCCCTTGTAAAACCGAATTGATTTTTATGTAGCAATTTACTAATATTAAAGAAACTTAACATCTGATCTAAAATAATTTTTTCAAAAATTTTACTTAATGTTGGTAGTACAGAAATTGGTCTAAAATTGGCGGGGTCTAATGTACTACCAGATTTAAATATATGTATGACTTTACTATGTTTCATTAAATCAGGAAACACACCAGATTCGACGCTTATATTAAATATAGTGGCTAGATAAGGTGCTAATATATCTATTATAGATAAAATAACTTTAACGGAAATCCCCCATAAGTCTGCCGTTTTCTTAACATCAATAGTTTTAAAATATTTAAAGATATCTTTTGGCAGTATTCTATGGAATTTAAAAGTATTTGAAGAAGCCTTTACATTTTGTTTGAGCAATGATTCGACGACAGTAGGAGAAGAATTTAATGACTTTGTTGTCAAAAAAGGAACGTCAGTAAAATGTAAACGTAGTAGTTATATTCTCTTTGGTAAAATGTTTCTCAAAAGCCAAAAAAGAAAAAGCCAAAATAGCAACTTCTTGATGAGATCGCGTTAAATTATTGTTAATATTTTTTTTTCCCACTGACATTTTATATTGGTCGCACAATTTTATAAATTTTTACACACTGAGCGTGGAGAAACAATTTACGCTATTTGATACGTAATTGTCTTCCACTCTCTATTACTTTCTATAAGCTTTAGTGGCACGTAAAGCATATACAAAATCAACAACAATAAAAACTAATAGCAGTTGCAACTGCGTACTACAATTAACATAGTAACAATATAGAAATTTTACATCGGTGATATAATAGATACAGTAATAAAAGATAACAAAATGGCACATACATATTCTTAGTCTATAATTATAAAACAATAATAACGAAAACAAAAAGACCATGTAAAATATTACATTTCTTAGTCTATATAACTATAAAAAACTAGCAGATAAATTACAAAAATAAAAAAAACAAAATTCGAGTTGCGCGGCTTGACCTTGCCCGTTTCACTATTTATTATTCTCCAGGTCATTTTAAATTTGTCGGATGCAGTTTTAATTTTGTTGCTTTAATGTAAAGCCTTAGCAGTGGAGCACACTTTTTTAAATATTTTAGAATATATTTTTACATAATCTCTAAATATAACACTACTATTATACGTGGGTTCTGATATATGACACATCTTTGATAGATGGTGTTTTCAACGCAATGTCAGGCCTCTGTCACTCTGCCCCCGGGGTAGAACGTAGTCGGGGCTAGCGCGTATAATTTTCATAATTTCTTCTTTTATCTAATTAGGATTCTAGATATATTAAAAAGTGGTGCTAGTAGTAATGTGTGTGTTTGTGTGTGTGTGTGTGTGTGTGTGTGTGTGTGTGCGTGTGTGCGTGTGTGTGCGTATGCGTGCGTGCGTGCATGTATGCGTGTGTGCATGCGTGCGTGCGTGTGTGGGTGTATGTATGAGTGTGTGTGTGTGCGTGCGTGCGTTTGTTCGAATGTAACTATTTTTTACGAATTTTATCGCGTTTAATTTAACTTTTTAATTCCCGACGTTTCGATTGCTTTAGAGCACCCGTGGTCACGGGGAGAGGGGGGGGACTGAGGTGTTTGACGTCCCGATGTCATAGTTTTATGTTATATTTAGCCCGGCTAACTTCAGTTTTTGAATATTTATTTTTGGTCCGATATACGCAGAATGAGCTTACAGTATCTTGAAGTCTTGCAGTGGTATGCTTGGGTTTGGATTTAATTTTATTAATTACAGGATCCCAAGCAGATGGCAGCAGCCATTCACCTTCTCTATTGAAATTAGGAAGTTTTTTAATTTCAATAGCCTCGCGAATCATCGTTGGTAGGTAGTGGTAGTGTTATCAGGATTTCGGATGACTAAAACATCTAGGAAATCTAAAGAACTGTTTGCCTCTAACTCCATTGTGAATTGTATTTTAGGCTTTATGGAATTAAGGTGGTAATTATCAAGTTTAGCTGGTTGGGCTGTGTCTTCAGTGTACAGTACGATCTGTGCCGTATGCGCAGTGTTCCTCAGAAAAAAATGTGCAAGTTTAGTCTGTATGAAATGTATTCAAGAGCTCACTCATTGTCTGCTGCTGAATAATAATTGGTAAAGATTTAAAAACAAGACTTTATCGTTTCAGGGTCCGAAATGGCGGAGACGGGAAAGTTACATGAAACCAGTAACGTTACGTATTTAGCCTCCCCACGAGATGTGTGCGTGCCCCATGCTTACTTTGAGGGTTAGTAGTTACACATGTGTCAGAAATAGCTAACGTAGTGCTTCCATTCTGAAAGAGTAATATTGTGTTACGCTAACGTTGTGCCTCTTTCTCAAAAGTAGAAGGCGGACAAGCTAACGTCGTGCCTCTGTCGCGTCTAGCTTAAGTTATGCTAACGTCGTGCCTATGACTTAAGTAGATGTTAAGTTATGCTAACGTCGTGCCTATGACTTAAGTAGATGTCAAGTTATGCCAACGTGGTGCCTATGACTTAATCGGTTATTATTTTATTATGTTATGCTAACGTTGTGCCTATTACTTAATGAGTTATTTTTAACTGACTTCAAAAAGGAGGAGATTCTCAATTCGACTATGTTTTTTTTGTGTGTTCCTCAGAACTTTTTTCTAGGTGACCGATGTTGATGGTTCTAAGCTGGTGCTTAT